ATAATGTAGTGAAGGATATCAAATTAAAAGTACTGTGAATTCTGATGTATTTCACTTGTCCATACGCTTTATCATTGGCCCGACGTATGGGAAAAATATAAAGAAGCAAACAATGAAGTCACACACAGACTTCTCTATGTATAGAGAAGTCTGTGAGACACATGTAAATTTCCATTTTAAATGAAGCAGCCAGCCCCTGGACAGTCGAAAATGGACATTCCAGCAGGCAGCAACTAACAAAGGCTGCGCCAGGTTACTATTGAGCTGTGTCCACCGACAGTCCCGCTCGCTCACCCACTCTGACCGGGTATGTGGGTCGAAGCAGTTTTGGAGCGTGCCCGGGGTCCCCAGGGAGGGGTGCTCGCCCCCTGCCGCCGCCCCGGGGCCGCCGCGCCCCGGTACGCCCCAGAATGCCGCGGCTAATCGTCGGTGATCGACTCCGCTGATGGCGCCGGCACCGACGCAGGGAGGGGTGGGGAGGGGTGTCTGTTATCGACCGTGGGGAATCACTAATACGTCCCGGCTGGCCCAGCGCTGTCATGGGTGTCTGCGTGCCAGAACAGGGCCCAGCGCGGCTCAGTCGTGACCTGCGGGCCAGCACCACCTAAAGCGGCTTTACTGTAGAAGCCACACTTAAGTCCTCGTGAATGTTAACATGGGTCATGCAAACACTCGGTAATGGTAGTTATGGCAGTTGAACCAGAATGTTGTGCATGCCTTTGGTGGCTAATGAAGCAGAACGTCACATTACATGTATTTCACGTTCTGGAAATAGCGCTAAAAATGTGTAGATGAAAATGCAAATAAACATAATATTATGTTCATTCTTATGTCACTTTGATTAGGAAAAAAAGTTTATAAAAGCATTCATACATTTTGGCGTTGCGCCTTCTGAAGATTATGAGAAAATTATCGAGATGCCGCAACGCTGAAATATTTTAAGGCGTGCCGGGCCGGAGGGTGCTTGGACGTCCCCCTGCGGTTTTATGCAAATTATGCACTTTTTCGACACATGTTAAAAGTACATCCCCAGCTCGCTCAAAGTCAGGTCACCAGGTCACATCAGGTGACCTGACCTCAATAAAAATTACCATGGTCGTCAGAGTCACACTGGCCAACCCATTGCTCCAAAACATTTAGCGATTGATGAGGGAGATAGAGTACAAAAATGTACCCCTCCGATTTTTTATATGGTTGACAAGGTAAGGTCAACTTAGCGACCTCTCCAGTCTCCATTATAAGTCAGACTGGAGGCAATTAAACCGGGTTATTTTGTCCACGAAAGCATTCCAAATACCCTAAAACATCGTGTAACAGGGTTAGAAAAGCGACGCATTTTTATGCGAGCGAGACCATTTCACCAGACCTTCTCAATATACTTGTTACCAAAACCTGGTGTTTTTAAGGTTGTCGAATGTCGTTCTATGTAAGTTACGAACATAACGCCATAGTCGGCCAGTACACCCGCGCCTCCTGACCGATAAAACAAGCACTTTCGTAATGATAGATAGCCTTAGGTGCGTGCGAGGCCGTTAAGGCTGAGTGCGCTTCTCCCATTCCTTCATTCGAGATGTAATAAGCTCTTTGCATTGTTATGCCTTTTTTTTAGGAAAATTCGTGGCGAGGGTGGTTCGTCGAATTTCTCAAAATTCAGCTGATACGTCAAAGTCACGCAGTATTTTAATGAATTGAGTACATGTGCCTTTCGCCAAAAATCACGCGTGGAGGTGGTCTATATACCGAACACGCTGCGCCTGAACACTTACGTTGTGTGCGCGTGCGCCCCTGCACCAGTTGCTGCGCCCCGGGCCACTGAGCTAGGACCTGCCCGGGCCACCCCGTGTCCGGTCCGCGGCGCCGCGTCCCTTGGTTGTCATGGCGACAGAGCGCTCGGCGCCGCGGGCCCAGCGAACCACAATCAATGCTGCACGTCAGGCTGTATATGGAGCTCGTCACCCTTCGCTGTGACTAATCCGGTGTATTGTTAGAAACGTAAGGTAACCGAGAAGTTTTGCAGTGAAGCTGTTTTTAAATCGTCTCGTTGAACAAATTTTTATGATAGCGAGGTGCTAAGTGCTCATCAGGTGCTCAGATTTTTTCAGCTCTGTTTCATGCTGTTCTGCATTGCGCCGCTGTTCAACGGTGCACTTATATAACAGACACTATCAAGAAAAAAAATCACCTTAGCCGTTTTCACGACGCCGGACGGACTATCTGGCGAATGCAACGAATTTCACTAAATCTGCACCAAACCTCTTTTACAATAAATATCCTGGTATCATGAATTTATTTCAATGTTTTAAAAGAAAATAATGGCTGATTATTTGAAACATGAGGCATATAAGCATCTGTGCAGCACAAACTGATAACTTTTAAGAACCACACTAAACCTAATTTGACCAAATCTGCACCTAATAGGCCTTAACATCCCTCAAACTGAAATATTTTATGTTCAAAATAATTTTAGAAGTTTAAATCCGGGCATCTTTTGCCCTCAAATCACTTATTTATTTACAAACACAGCAATTTTTGGTTCTAGTAGCCCACCTTTCGACTATGAGGTATCAAATCAGCGTGGCAACTTTACTCCCTCGGGTATCTAATTCCGGAATTCTTAAAAGCAAGGAAAGTATATATCGAGCTTTCTTTTATGCCTATTGAGTTATGTTTTAATGGTGATTAAAATATGGCAAATTTTTTAATTACATTTCACATAAGAAAAACACGCAAAACAATGAAACAAAAATAACTACGGTGGAAATAACCAATCAGCACCTCAGTAGGATATGACGTCATACAAGAATGGTGTTTGTTGTGAAATGTGGACCATATTTAGTGCCGCCCGCCCCCCAGCGCTACCTGGTGCTTGTTTGGTCACCTCCCCAGCGCCACCTATTGGCTCTGTTTTAGGATGGAGCAGATTGCGGGTCAGATTCTGTGGACGGTGGCGCGCCTCTGGTGAGGAAGGTGTGAACCACAGGGCACACGTGGCACACTGACCCAGTTTTGCACAGCGGCGTATTTAGAAAATCGCGAAGGGGGGGGCCAAGGGTTTGGAGGGCGCCACCTCACCCAAGGAGGGCGCCATACGGTCGCGAGATAAAAAATCACTCAACGGGGGGGGGGGGGGGGTTGGGAGGCGTTTTTTACCATGCCACCAGTTTTTTTTTTTGCGTAACCTCGTATAGGTCGTGCTGCATTGATTTTGCATCGTGTGTATTCTTTATACTCCAGGTCACAAAAGGTCAAGTGGTCTTGAAATGCTGCGCCGAAGGCGCGCGAAATTTTTGAAAACAACCTTTTCCTCCGCTTTTTAGGCACGCCTTTTATACGATCACTGTTCAAAGCTCCTCTCGCTCTTTTACCAAATTTGAAGGTATAAAAAATACCTAAGGTTTGGTCGGGCCGCTGCCACACAAACTGTATAGAAAGCTTGGCTCATGGGTGTCGATGTATAAAAGTTTATTGGCGGTGGCATATCTACGCACCAGATCACCGTATCGGATTGATACCGGAGCGCGAGATGCGTAAACATCATCCAAATTACCTCAGACCAGCCTTCATAGCCTTCTCACAGGTGCATACAGTGTACCCACATAACCAGTTTCAATCACCGAAACTTCAGATGCCTGCTGTTGCGGCCGAACCTGTTGACAATACTTAATCGTAATACATATAGATGCCATGATGCACGTAAAGTAGGATCAATCCGTTAAGACCAAAGACGAGTTTTATGCATCGTAGAGCGTAGATAGTTTTGGTAGGTATAGGTACTTCATTCATTGTGCTGAATGCACGTTCATTTGTGGCAGTTTTCACAGGCAAGACATCAACTATGTGCAATAGAGCGACTAAGTTGAAGAACATGCCAAAGGAGTAAATAAATGATAGGAGGGCAGCGATCAACGGATGTTGCCAATAGGTAGAAGGGCTGCGATCCACAGGAGGGCGCTAATAGGTAGAAGAGCCCCGATCAACATCCCGAGTTTCGACAGTAGGGCACCGATAGGTAGGAAGTTGGCGAGCAGCAGGAGGGCGCCAATGGATAGAAGGGCAGCGATCAACAGGAGGGCACCAATAGGTAGGAGGGCCCCGATCAACAATCAACAGGAGGGCGCCACCAGGTAAGAGGGTGGCGAGGAACAGGAGAGCACCAATAGGAGGGTGGCGATCAACAAGAGGTCGCCAATAGGTGGGAGGGCGGTCATCAACTGCAAGTCGCCAATGAGCGGAAGGGTGACGATTAAAATGGGGGTGGCAATGGTGAGGAGGGCGCCTTTGCTCAAGAGGATGACACGAACAGGACGGCGTCTGTGCGGAGGGCGCTGGTCAACAGGAAGGTGCCAGTAGATAGGAGGGCGGTGATCAACAGGAGGGTGCCAGTGGTTAGGAGGGCGGCGATCAACACGAGGGCGCCAATAGGAGAAGGGCCCCGATTAGCATTCAACAGGAAGGACTAGGGAACCAATAGGTAGGAGGGCGGCACTGAACAAGAGGGTGCCAAAAGGGAGAAAGGCGGCCTTCAAAATTTCACATGAGGGCGCAATAGGTAGAAGAGCGCCAATAATTATGAGGACGCCGATCAGCAGAAGGGCGGCAATTTGTAGCAGGGTGGCGACCTACAGGAGGGCGCCTTCGGGTGAGAGGGCGCTTATTTACAGGACAGCGGCTTACATAGGCGACCACCGTTACGCTTAGAGAGCTACAGCCTACAAATGTGGTTGGAGGGCGCCCGAGGGAGCCCTCCAACCGTATTTGGAGGGCGTATTTGGAATGGGCGTCCTCCGAGGGCGCCCTCCATCCGTATTTTCCCTGTAAACACATTCGCGATTGGAGGGCGCCCTCCAGTCGCGATTGTTTTTCGATTCGATTATATCACAATTGCATTTGCGATTGGAGGGCGCCTTCGGCGCCCTCCAATCGCAAAGGGCGCCTTCGGCGCCCAAGGGGGGGGGGCCATGGCCCAGTGGCCCCCCCCCCTGCCTACGCCCCTGGTTTTGCATCAGCTGATCGCCGCAATAAACCAGTTGACGGTCATCGTGTTTGGGCCGTGGAGGTGCGCCGATTTAGCCGCATGATTTTGAAACTCGCAGATATAGCTCAATTTATTGTAACCAGAGCAGCATTCAGAGTGACTAAACCAATCAGGCGAATTAGTTTTCGTAACATTGGTGCCGAAACCGCCGGGAAAAGTGCTTTGAGTGATCGGTATGTCTCTGGAAGAGCTCAAGCGGGCGAGGACAGCGGCGCGTGGCTGGCTAAAAAGGGCCACAGTAAAGCTTGAATCTGTCATTGCTGATGAAGACAGTGATGGGGTAGCTATTCAGAGCTACCTGGATGATTTTGATCAGCGCCTGGCTAACTTGGACTCTGCTCAAGAAAAGCTAGAGCTAGTGCTTCATGATGATGAGCTTGAAAGTGACTTTGAGAAAGCAGCTGAGATCCGTGATGCTGCGCTTGGCATTAGGGTCAAAGCTGTAAGGCTTAAAGTAGCTCGTGAGAGAGACTCAGCTCAAAGTGACAATGGCAGTAGCTGTACTTCTCAAGTAAAGCTGCCTAAGATCGAGTTGCCAAAGTTTGGTGGCGATGTGGTAGATTGGTCGACATTCTGGGACCAGTTCAGCGCCACTGTTGACCAGTCTGACTTGGCAACAGTCTCGAAGCTCGTGTATTTGAGATCTTTGCTCTATGGTGAAGCTAAGCAGGCGATAGATGGTCTTGCGGTGACTGCCACCAACTATGCGGTGGCCTGTGACATTCTCAAAGCAAGATTTGCCAGACCTGCTAAGGTTATTTTTGCTCATATCGAGAAGCTTCTCAATCTGGGCAGTGGTTCTGATCTTAAGCCCATTCAAGATGAACTCTTGGTGCATATTCGAAGCCTTGAGAGGCTTGGTGTCGGTGGTGAGAGGTACGGTGTAATACTTACCCCACTGGTACTGAGCCGTCTGCCCGAGGACTTCAGGATGGAATGGGCACGGGACTGTGAAGGAAGAGAGAGTGACTTGGACTACCTTCTGCAGTGTCTGAAGAATGAAATAAGCCGCAAGGAGAGATCTCAAGTGCTGGAGGGCAACAGTGTTTCTGTGCAGTCTGGGGCACAGACTCGGATCACCCCAGGGAGGAGAGGCAACAGGTCAGCAGCAGGTGCTGTGCCATCGGCAGCAGCCCTGCAGGCGACGACAGCTGCAGCAGGTGCTGTGCCATCGGCAGCAGCCCTGCAGGCGACGACAGCTCCAGTGGACAGATGTGGATTCTGCCAGAAACCCCACCATGTCTCAGCTAAGTGCAGGGGATTTCTGAAGCTAGGAGTGGGGAAAAGGCTCATGAGAGTAAAACAGTCAGGGCTGTGCTTTCAGTGCTTCAGTGCTGGTCATAGAGCCAGAGATTGCTCAGTCAGATGCGAGTGTTGTGGTGGCCGCCATCATGTTTTGTGCTGCTACAAGCAGCAAGGCCAGACTCAGGGTGATCAGGGTTCTACTGAATCCCACCGTCAGATGAGCAACAGTGCTGATGTGGGAGCTGTGAGTAGAGGAGTGTCTGATGTGTCACTCTCATGCAACACTGTGCAAAAGAAAGACTGTATTGTGCTGCCTACTGCTAGGGTCACCGTCATTGGGTCTCGGGGGCCAGTAGAGGCCACAGTTCTGTTTGATAGCGGATCTGATAGGACTTATGTGTCAGAGTCACTGGTACAGCGTGCCTCACCGAAGTGGACTGGGTCTGAGGACACATCGTATGTGGCTTTTGGTGGTAAGAAGTCATGTGTCTCACAGCAGAACACTTATGATGTGACAATGCAGAGTGCCTGTGGTGAAAAGGTGTCTGTCAAAGCTGTGTCAGTTCCTGTGATCTGTCAGCCCCTACAGAGACCTCGTGTGACTCAGGACGTATTGCAGCAGCTGGGCTTAGCTGGCATTGAGATGGCTGATGTGTACCAGAGTGACCGTGAAGTGTCTATTGATATCCTGATAGGATTGGATGTGTACTGGAGCCTAGTGAAACCTGGCATTGTTCGTGCTGTAGATGGCCTGGTAGCTCAGATGACTGTGTTTGGCTGGGTCATTTCTGGAGCTGTGGCTGGCAGTGGCGGCTCACTGTCTGGTGTGGGCTGCCAGCTTCTGACGTTAGGTGATGTGCACAGCACTTCACTCAGGAACCTCTGGTCTCTGGAAGGGGTAGGCATTGCTAAAGATGATGATGCCATGCCTGATGTTCTCGCCGAGTTCGAATCGTCTGTTCACATGAGGGAGGGACGCTATGAGGTAAAGTTACCCTGGAAACCTGGTGCAGTGGGTAAGCTTCAGGACAACCTCGCGTCTGCCAAGGCTCGGTTAGCGAGTCTCACACGTAAACTGTCAAAGGACCCTGGACTGTGTGACCGGTATAACAGCGCTCTGCGAGATATGGAGGAGGCTGGTGTGATCGCGGAGGTGCCTGCTGAGGAGATGTGTACCTCAAAGCCGACTTTCTACCTGCCACACAGACCGGTGGTCAAGGAGAGTAGTAGCTCCACGAAAGTCCGACCTGTTTTTGATGCATCGTCGTGCGGACCAAATGGCGTGTCCTTGAATGATTGTTTAGAGATAGGGCCATGCTTGCTCCCTGACCTGGTAGAAGTGCTTCTAAGGTTTAGGAGGTGGCCTGTGGCTGTGACAGGTGACATCACAAAGGCCTTTCTGCAGATATCCCTCTGCAAAGAGGATCAGGACACACACAGGTTTCTGTGGGAGCGTGACGGGGTTGTGCGCGTGATGAGGGCACAGAGAGTGATTTTTGGTGTGTGCAGCTCTCCATTTCTATTGAACGCTACCATACGCCACCACCTGTCTCACTACCCAGACTCTGCAGTGATCACAGAAATGCGTGAAAACTTCTATGTAGACGACCTGCTGTCAGGAGCAGACACAGAGCAGGAGGCCGCTGAGCTTCTGTCAAAGGCTCAGGAGGTGATGTCAGACGCCGGTATGACGCTCACTAAGTGTAGGACGAATAGCCCAGTGCTGTTCGAAAAGGCTCAGACTGTGATGGGGACAGGTCTGAACGAGAGCTGCAAAGTGCTTGGTGTGATGTGGCAGCCCACAGATGATGTGTTTACGTTTCAGGGCGTAACACTGCCTGATGATATCGTGCCCACGAAGCGAGTGGTGCTCAGTTTTGTAGCTCGTATGTTTGACCCTCTCGGCTTCGTCGGCCCGTTTGTGATGACCTTGAAATGTTTGTTTCAAGAGCTCTGGCAGTTGGGTCTACACTGGGACGAGCCGCTTCCTGAGATCTTCTCTGAGACCTTCAGCCGGTGGCTGAGGGAGCTGGAGCTGTTGAAAGAGTTCCAAGTGCCGCGCCGCTACTTCGAGACGGCGTGGAAGGGCACCCAGCGAGTGGAGCTGCTGGCTTTCTGCGATGCCTCGCCAAAAGGGTATGGTGCAGCCGTCTATATCCGTGTGCCCCTGGATGACGGCTCGTTTGATGTGACCCTGGTGATGGCGAAAAGTCGCGTGTCGCCTCTCAAGAAGCTCACGCTTCCTAGACTTGAGCTTTTGGGGTGTCTGGTGGGTGCCCGTCTGGTTGTGTTTGTCAGACGAGCTCTCCGCCTCCCGGAGGACACGCGCATTTCATGTTGGACAGACTCTATGATAGCGCTAGGGTGGATTCGAGCAAATCCACTAAAGTGGAAGCAGTTTATAGCGAACAGGGTCTCTGAAATCCAGAGCCTGACCAGCCCAGCGTGTTGGCAACACTGTGCAGGTGTGGATAACCCGGCTGATTTGACCACCAGAGGGGTGTCGGCCGAAGAGCTGGTCGGTTCTGATCTGTGGTTGTCTGGTCCGCAGTGGCTCTCCAGCCCAACAGGTCAACCTGTCGCAGCTGCGGAGCCGGAGCCAGAGGCGCCACGGCTACTGGGTGAGGAGGCTGTTCTGACAGCGACTACTCCGGCCCCGTGTTCGCTCGACTTCCAGCGCTGTGGATCCTTCTCCAAGGCGGTGCGCGTCACAGCCTGGGTGAGGAGGTTCATTCGGAACGCCAGGACGCCTGGTGCAGGCGCTCGAGGTAAGGGGCCCAGAACGCGGCAGAGTGCCGCTAAACGGCTTCAGCTGGAGTTAGACCCTGACGAGATTGTGCAAGCGAGACGTCAGCTGCTAGTCCTGGTACAGGGTGAGGCCTACCCGGACGAGCTGAGAGCACTGCGATCGGGCAGAGACGTCGCGAAAGGGTCGTGCCTGTACCGTCTCGTGCCATTTGTTGATGATGACGGACTGATCAGGGTGAACAGCAGACTGCAGATGTCTGATCTGTCCTACGACGAGGTTCATCCCGTCGTTCTGCCGACCTGTCACGTGTCGGAGCTGCTAGTCCGTGAGCAGCACTTGCTGATGCGACACGCTGGCGTGTCTGCCCTAATCAGCTCACTCAGAGGGTCGTATTGGATTTTCGGACTGCGACGCCTCGCAAAGAGAGTGAAAAGGGGATGTGTTCCATGTCAAAGGCAGGATACTCGAGCATGCAACGCGCCAGTGGCGCCGCTTCCGAAGTCGAGGGTGACTGAGGCACCCCCGTTTGCTGTCACCGGCATAGACTTCGCAGGGCCGGTGTTCTGTGTAGATGAGCCGCGCAAAAAGTTGTACGTGTGCCTGTTCACATGTGCGGTAACCAGGGCAGTGCATGTAGAGCTGGTAGACTCCCTGTCTTTAGAGGACTTCATGCTGGCGCTCAGGCGTTTTGCAGCCAGGAGGGGAATGCCTACTGAGATTTACTCCGATAATGCTGCGACGCTGAAGGGCGCTGATTCTCTCTTGCAGAGACAGTTCGGACATTTGGCACCGGCGTGGAAGTTTATCGTCCCACTGTCCCCCTGGTGGGGAGGATGGTGGGAAAGACTGATTAGGTCGGTTAAGTCGGGACTGAGAAAGGCGCTAGGTAAGCGCTGCCTGACGAGGATTGAGTTGGAGACGCTTCTCAGCGAGGTCGAGTCCTGCATAAACTCGCGTCCATTGGTCTATGCTGGTGATGATGCGGATGCGACCGAACCCTTGACTCCCAGTCACTTTCTGATAGGCAGGGGGTCCGGCTTTCAGCCGGGAGAGCAGTTAGATCCAGCTGCAGCAGCGCGACAGTCGCTGCCGGCTCGCGCCAGACTTCGTAAGGAGCGCATGGATCGGTTTTGGGAAGTTTGGTCGTCCGCCTACTTGCGTCAGTTACCCACTTCCGTTCGCCAATTCCGCCATCACGGTAGCTTGAGGGTAGGCTCAGTCGTTTTGATTCATGAGAAGAACGTTCCGCGCTTGATGTGGCCGGTTGGTGTGGTTGTGCGGCTGTATAAAGGGTCTGATGGTGTCGTACGATCCGCTGACCTACGTACAGCGAAGGGTGTCCGTACTCGCGCGATTCAGTGTCTCCACGATCTAGAGTGCGATTAGAGAGTGGAGCGTCTGGTTAGGCTTTCAGACAGAGTCGTCTCTCTTTCGTTGTAGTTAAGTGTATCCTTGTGTGTGTATACTGACCGGGTTTGTTGATCAGTTGTGTGCTAATGCACTCGTCATTTCTGGCCAAGCTGATGTGTTTCGCTATTTGATCTCTGTGTCATGATTGTTGCTAGGCCTAAAGTGTGTTGGAGTATCACGTATCGATGTTCTCTATACTCCAACGGGGCGGAGAATGTTGTGAAATGTGGACCATATTTAGTGCCGCCCGCCCCCCAGCGCTACCTGGTGCTTGTTTGGTCACCTCCCCAGCGCCACCTATTGGCTCTGTTTTAGGATGGAGCAGATTGCGGGTCAGATTCTGTGGACGGTGGCGCGCCTCTGGTGAGGAAGGTGTGAACCACAGGGCACACGTGGCACACTGACCCAGTTTTGCATCAGCTGATCGCCGCAATAAACCAGTTGACGGTCATCGTGTTTGGGCCGTGGAGGTGCGCCGATTTAGCCGCATGATTTTGAAACTCGCAGATATAGCTCAATTTATTGTAACCAGAGCAGCATTCAGAGTGACTAAACCAATCAGGCGAATTAGTTTTCGTAACAGTGTTGAAGGCCGTTTGCAGTCCCGGCCGGTAGGTCACGTGACCGCCGGGAGCCTCGGGTCACGCGGCGGTCGGGAGTCGGACGCGGGACGTGGTCGCGGGTGGACGCGCGGGGCATCATGCTTTGCTTTGCTTGCTTTGTCAACTTAATCTAACTTACGATCGCATACGTGTGAAACCCAAACACTGCTCAGTGCCCTTAGAAATTGAGTTTTGGAAAGCTCAAGTCCCTATAGCTCCTCAGGTCGGCAACAGTTGAAGCCTCATCTGGACTAGTGAAAAAAGCGAGGGTAAGGAACCTTGTGTTGCTTTTTCTTTTACCGTTATAATTATCTCAAACCATCACAATTTTGAGTTGCCACATTGTCTGGTTCACTACATTCGTGTAAAACTTGGTGAAGGCTGGTGGCTCAAAGAAAGGTGAAGATATTTCTTTAAGTGCCTAATCCGTGAAATATCCCGGCTTTACAAATCTACACTTTTCATTTTTTCCACGATACATTTTTTAAAATTGTTAAAATTTATTCAACATTTGTTAAAAGGGGCTTTGGTTTGGTGTAAACTAGATCATAAAGTTTACTATAGTTTTGTGCAAAACCTGGTGGCTGAAGAAAATAGTAATTTTGCTAAAATAATGTGCGGAAATTTGTTGCTTTCCAATTTCCAAATCAAATTACTCATACCTATATTTCATTCAAAATTAGGAGGCATTATTACTGTTTTTTCTTGCAACATGAACTGAGTTTGGGTGCAGTGCTCCGGAAACGTTGTGGAACTTTAAGCTAGCTAGAGCAGTTTCCATAAAAATTGTTTAGATAGTTGACATGGCATGTTGACAACGGTTTTGCTGTTTCTAAAAAAGTGAAAAATATTTTCCTGCATTAAACAGACAAGGCATGTTATTCTCATAAGCTATCGAATGTGTGTGCGTGTGTGTGTTTTTTTAAGCTGTCAATTGTAACTTCAGTTACTTCACTTTAGAACATATTGCCCAGAATGCGTCACTGATCATGAGCTGGTATATCATATCATATGTAGCAAATACATAAATGGGAATAGTGTGTCATGAATTTTTGTGCATGCTTCTGGATCATCTGTAATTACATCAAAGGCTCGGCTCAAGAGTGTCCTGCCGACCAGCTTATGCCCAACCCTTTCTGTCCGCAGAACGTCTTCCGTCGCCTGCGACTCCCGCACGCCGTTTGCGCCCCGGCCGTCCGTACCGGTCTTCGCGCTGCGAGCCGCGCTGCTGGAGTTCGCGGCGGCGTCGTGGAGCTCCCATCGGGACAACGTGTGATGCCCGCGTCGAGCTTATAAGCCGTGAGCTTCGATTGGCGGCTCACGCGGTCACCAGCTGTATGTACAGCCTCGGCCCCGACGACCCCGCTAATGGCCGAGACCGGCATACCCCCTGCATGGGTCCGCTGTCCGGCGCAGCGCTGGCCGCCCGCATGTTACGTTTGGCTGTATCGCTGCCCAGCGGGAGCGCGCTCCACGCTGCGGTAGAGGCACACGTTGCGACCCGACTGAGGACCGCAACCGGATGGTGAGACGTCGGCCTCTGCGCCCTGGCCGGGGTAGGCGTGACCGACGTCACAGTGGAGGAACACCCAAACAAGACCAGCCCACCGTCGGAGCAGCATGGAAATATCATGTTCTGCCTGGACGTCGGACCCGGCGGCCGCAGAGCACCTGCACACGTGCGGAGAGGGGCGCTGGAGGCGCGGCTTCTGACATCCCGCGGCGCGGCTGCTGGCAATACCTGACAACGGCGGCAATGGAGGCGGTTGGGAACAGCTGCAGCAATGGTGATGGCGGTGATGGCGACATGGCGGTTTGGGACTTCATCTCAGCGCGGCCGCCGCCCAGGCGCCGCTGCGCCCGGCTGCTCAGCCACCTACCGGATGGCGGGGTGGCCCTTACGGCCCTCACGCCCGTTCGGTCTGCGGCCACGTTTTGGGGTGGCCGTCGCGGGGTTAGCGGCGTTGGACTTCGTCCTTTATCCAGACTGCACCGTACCATCTGAACGGATGGATCTGCCAAGAAAGATGACATCCAAGGCGGCTATGAGGCGATCACAAAGCTTCAGCAAGAGCTTCTCCTTCATGGGGCCGGCCGGCCGCCGGCTGCCGAGTGCCAACAGCTGCGTGCGCTGGCGCCGACGCGTTGTGGGCCGCGCTGCTGACGCTCAAGCTGCGATATCAACCATCTATGAATAAGTGGCAGCGGTGGCGGCTTGTCAGTTGTTAACGTGCCTTTGCAGACGTTGTGAATAGCCCGCGTTGGAATCGCATGGTTGGCAACACCACGCAAGCTAAAATGGGCTTCCTTGATGAACCTACTTTTTAAGCATTGTAGCCTTTGTAATTTTTGATGTTTTGCTGTAGGTATTATTTTCTACATATATACTATATAGGCACTCACGTGCTTTGAATCGCGCAATGCAATTGAACCATGGTAAAGACAATGATAAATGAACTGAGAGCTGACATGCCCCATGCTTTGTGTGAGTGTGTGTGTGTGTGTTTTTTTTTTTTGGCGAGTCGATAAAAGTGGTTTTGGACACTGGATGAGTTTTTAGGGGTGTGGTGAGGGGGAATGTAATTCCACAGACCTTTTGTCAGATTCACCAATGCAGTAGGTCTGTGCGGTATTTAGATATCGGAGCATTCTTTGAAAGTCGTGAATAGGGCAACTGAGAACCTACCTATAGCCGTGATATCCCCTCACAAAAACTTCTTTTAAATAACCGGGGATAAGTACATAAGCAGAGTAATTGCTATTACGAACACCTAGGTATCACAATGCTGAGCGAATAGGAAAATCTATAGATGGAGAATTGTGCCGCGTTACGGGTGCTCGGGCGCAGCCAATCCAGCGTTACCCCAGCGGTGACCTTGACCCGCATCGTCTGTCTTGGCTCCAAAGCCAAACCGGCGTGGAATTGGGAGCGCTCGAGCACTCATGGTCCAGCGCAATTCTCCACCTGAATCCATTCCTGATACACATTTGCTTGCTCATAGTCATGTAACCCCGGTAAATTCATCTAACTTTCATATTGGTCGCTCCATAGACAGATGGCCACAGATATCAACTTAAAAGGCCATTGTTGCATTCATTTAGTGGAGATCATTAAAGAGCCGTGATAGGCCACAAGTCGCGTGACATCATACGTGTAACAACCAATGACGTCGGCCTGCAAAACCCAATGGAAGCGGCTAGCAGCGTGCAATAAAACAGGGCGCTGCTTTCTAAATGTCTGTCGTGCGCCATAAATGAATATATCTTTTGTAGTGTGGCAACTCAGTATCTTTTTTTAACTATTGTACTAGTATTTAATAATTTCATAATTTTATAATTGTGCTTACGCTTTATGTTGATGTTAGTGATAAATCCTTAGATAAAGTAAATCGATGTGATATTCAATAGAAAAATAGCAAACTAACGCGCCATTCATTCGAAAGCTGGTAAACCTACTAAAAAGAACTACTAAAATTCCTGAGGAACCAAAGGATTATATTGGTATCAAATAGATGCCTGCTATTCCGTCGTGAAAACGGCCAATATGCACCAAATGTGTACCAGACGGCCGTCGGCAAAACGGATATTATCTACACAATACACATCCAATGCATATAAATCGATTTCGCTCAAAAGTCATTTTGAAACCTGTCTTAAACCCGGCAGGCGGTGGGCCTCCCGGCCACCTTCCGCGCGGTGGGGGGGGGGCATTTTTTGCCCCCCCCCCCCGTATCTCCGAAACTACTGGACGGAGACCACCCTTGTGGCGCAGTTGGCAAGTGCGTTCACGTTTGGTGTGGGAGGTCCTTGGATCAAAGCTGACCTCTGGCAGCGTTTTCCTCGGCCGGCTCCTACCCAGGAGATGGCAGTAACTGGGGAGTGTTCGCTCGGTCGTGGGGATTACCGCTGTGCCAGCCAGCGCCCCCGGCCGCAGGTACAGTCACCAGCACTTGCTACTAATCACCTCGTTTTTGTTCAGTAGTTTGAAGACCGATCAATTCTCAGTCGCGCAAGATACGTCAAATGGTCCGTTTGGTCCTCCGATTTTCGAATATCTAACTTGTTTTTGTATAGTCGAAGCATTTTGGGATGGGGAGCCAAAAAACCTCTTTTCTGCCCTAAAGTGTGCCCCAAGAAGTCGTAGCACCTAGCCCCGCCTCTGATCCACAGACCACTAGTGCCATCTCTTGTCAGCCGAACAAACCGCAGAAGTAAATAATGTCACGTGACCTTTGCACACGCTACAATTACTACGCAGCCGTAGTGGGGGAAGCGGGGCGGAGGCGTGGAGAGGGACGCGATCGGTCGGCTGGGGTCAGGTCGCCGAGGTCAGAGGTCACCCGCCGGAGGGTGTTTGAGCGGTTGGGCCGTGTGGGCTGGGGCCTGCGGAGTGGGGAGCGCCTGGACCTGTCTGGAAACAAGTCCTACAACGCTGTGGCAGTCGAGAATATTGTGAGGGAAGAGAGAGAGAGAGAGAGAGAGAGAGAGAGAGAGAGAGAGAGAGAGAGAGAGAGAGAGAGAGAGAGAGAGAGAGAGAGGGAGAGGGAGAGGGAGAGGGAGAGGGAGAGGGAGAGGGAGAGGGAGAGGGAGAGGAAGAGGGAGAGGGAGAGAGAAGGAGAAAGAGAGCGTTGCATGGAAAGAATGGGACCAAAAGTCGGCAGTGCCCCCCCCCCCCCTTGAAGGTTTTCCGCCGCTACTGAATGGGGATGATGTTGAGGGTCTCGCAAATACTTCATAAAAGAAATGCTATTTTTGCACAAACTATTAAACATTTTTTTGACGTTTGCTATGGAAATGTTAGGCCCAGTTCCTTCAAGATCAGGTCCACGCCTCCACAGCTTACAACA